CGCACACTTACGAGTGTATACTCAAAAAAAACACTGTGATACATTTTATTATCCCTTTTTGCTTGTGTTAAAGCTTTCGAAAGATGTCATAGTCAAGTAATATCAAGAGATTATATTATTAATTGAGTATAAATGTAGTTGTCTATGGACCACAGTATCCACTTGTCATCAGGTGGACTGTGTGTTCGTTTATCACCCATATTAAAAAAAAAACGTTTAGTCTGATTCTCTGAGTGTGTACCCACCTTAGTTTCCTTGATCCGCTCGTGCCCTTCCGCGTTGAAACCGTATTTATTGACAAGTGCGATAAAAATAGCGCCATTTGTTTTGCTTTTGCTTTACAAACGGATATTTAAAGGACGCCAAGGCGTTTTATTAATAGAAAATTTAGAGATCCGCTTACATTTAGCTATGATAACGTAGATATGTAGTTTCAAAGGTGTGCTATAACGAGTTACCTAATCAACATCATTTTTTTATAGAATAAGGATGAGAAACGAGCACACAGTCCACCTGATAGTAAGTGGACTTTGGCTTATAGCCACCTACATTTATCTTCAATTAGGAATTAAAATACAGATGCGTTGTCACCCGTGAAGACTAAGATGGAATGCCTCTTTTCCAGTGAAAGGGTCTCCGGTTCTCTACACTCACCATACGAAACACAGCAGTATTAAGCAGTATTATTATTTATTTTACGCTGGTATTCTGTGAGAACGTGGTCCTTCCCCGGTCGAGTCGACCCATTCGTGCTACAACTATACTACTAATATAGCTGCAGCATGGCTCTACCACGTCAATATCTATTTTTATATATATGTGTATTTAAGTGGGTCCCTGGATGGTTTATATTCACAATCGGACCAGGTAGTTAGCGCTGCTGTCGAGATCCAAAATTCACCCGTGCGAAGCTGGGGCGTATCGCTAGTTATATTTTCATTCGCTTCTACGCACTGAAAGCTCGATACGTCGTTTGATATATACGCTGTCGTTGGTGCGGCTACTCACCGCTAGTGTTACCAAACATCGCGTCTCATCAAAGATTTTAACGAAATTATGAAAATTAATAATGTTTGTTACGTAATAACTATTAGCCATATGTTTATTGCCAACTCAATTACAACAGGTCTCTCAACTCTCAGTTTTTTCGTGTTTGGATAGAGTTGTGTTTTCTTTTTGCTTTAATGTTTCATCTCTATTTCATCGCATCACTATAAAGTAGAATAGGAGCTGTACTCATATACTGGGTGGCGATTAGGTTATCACATTAATTTACACAGCGGTATATACAAGTTCATATACTTCGATTAAAATAATAAAATTAACAATTCTACCAAAAAAAAATCATCTTTCAAACAAAATAAATAGCGTAAAAATTGACACGAAATAAATGATCTTGATAATATTAGTTTACTGACCAGAAGTGACATGTAAAAGCGGCAACGGTGCAGTAGGTACGCAGTGTTCACGCGGCATCGACATAGATAATTATTTACTTACATTTTCCCGTTAGGCAAAAAAAGAAAAAAAGGGCTATTGGGACTAGAATGTTAATTATTGTTATATATTTTTTTAGTTGTGTATGTTCAAACAATATATGTATTTTTTTTTATAGGATCGGGTGACAAACGAGCACACAGTCCACCTGATGGTAAGTGGTTACTGTGACCCATACACCATACATCTACATCTATCCTCAATAAAGACTCAAGATGCAGATGCGTTGTCACCCGTGAGGACTAAGATGGAATGCCTCTTTGCCAGTAAAAAGGGTCTCCGGTTCTCTACACTCACCATACGAAACACAGCAGCGTTAAGCTGCTATTTTACGCTGGTTTTCTGTGAGAGCGTGGTCCTTCCCCGTTCGAGCCGACCCATTCGTGCTACAACCATAATATAGCTGCAGCATGGCTCTACCACGTAAAAAATGTATATATGTAAGATAAGTTTTTTCATTTAATGTGATAACTTTATCGCCACTCCGTATACATTATCATCAGTGTGTCGTAACAGGTGGTAGAGCGAAATGAAACAGGGGAACTCGAAATAATAAAAAAAAACTGCGGTTGCTAACTTGCTTGTCAAGCCTAGCAAGGCAAATATCCCCCCTACGAGTAAATCTATGGGAGAGACGTATGTTCTGCAGTGGACTTTTGAAGGAGTGTAACGAATAGATGCGAACTTTTTATTTTTATCAAAACATTAATTTTATACCAGATACAATTTATATAAAACGTAACGAATGAACAAAAGGCGATAACTCGGGGTATATGATACAAACAGGACTATCCTTCAAAAGACTATTTGTTTGGTGTCATAAGCGACAGACCGTTATAGAGGACGAAGCTGTAGGTGACATGCGCGCGCGTATCGATCGCCTGGCAGACTTCGGTCCGAGCCTTGTGCGTAGCTCCCGAGTCTTGGGCAATAAGGGATCGCTTGTTTTGTATAAAAATAACAGTAGGAGAGGCTTTATATTCGCCTGCTAAAATCGCTAAATAAATTTATAATAATATGGCATTGTTTAATGTTTCAAATACAATGGTCATTGAGGCACAAATTCTTTGTTTTGGATTTTCTTTTATCACACTTACAGTTATATGAGTATAGGTCGAAATAACATCGTACAAAAACACTTTTTACAGTTTTACAAGACAAATTACATTTGATAAGGTGATGCATTTTGTCAAATGGATTTGCAACACTTTTTACCATCATCATTCATCATATAAATTAACATTTTTAAAAATATATTAATCATTTATAATTTTTGTTTATAATTTTGTTATGAACAATTTTGTTAATCATACGACCACGGATATCCGACATGATGTGTACATAGAAACATTTTAATATATAAAATATTAATTATAACTTAACCTTTTGTATCTTTATATAAAATGCCCGAAATATTAAAGATATTTTTTTTAAGGCAATTCTGATATTTATTATCTATCGCGAGTGTATTAAAATACTAATAAAATTTGTAAAGTGCACATTTTTTTTGTTATCAAGTGTAAAAAAATTGTACAGGCTTAAAATATGCGAATAACCGCAATTTTCCTTTTTAAAATATTTTTTTATTTTAAATTTATCATATAAATTATTTCAAAAAAAATTAGTTTGTAGCTAATAGAAGATTCGATTTTTTAATTAAAACATCTTTTAACTTTATTAATTATACGAGTATTATATTTATTTTATTTATATACGAGATATAGGAAGTCGTGGTAGCTCAGATGGTTAGCGCTCGCTGTATGTATCACAGTACGCGAGCAACCCGGGTTCGATCCCCACCGGCACCAATGAAATTGTTAATAGCAGTTTTAAGTGCTGATTTACCACGTGCTCGGCGGTGAAGGGAAACATCGCGAGGAAACCTGCATGTCTGAGAAATGAGAAAAAAATATATTTCGAAGGCATGTGAAGTTCGCCAACACGCATTGGGGCAGCGCGGCGGACATTTCCTTGCCCTAAACCCCTCTCAGAAATGAGATGAGGCCTGTGCCGAGCAGTGGGACGTATATAAGCTGCTTTATCTTTTTTTTTAACGAGGTGTGTAGAAATTACCTTTTCTACCTTCGGGAACACAACGTAGCGTCATGAACGCTTGATAAGTTTTTTAAGTGAAAACTTTTTTAGTATCGTTGTGATTTGCAACTCGACGAAACGAAAAAGCTACACGAAAAAGAGACAAACATATACATCTATAGGATTAAGCCTGCGGCAGAATGAGATAGAATACAGTACACAGTCTTTCCTATCATCTCGGTCTCCTTTTCTGAAGGTTTCACTTTTACCGCGTGACTGAACTGCACATATGTTTTTTTTTCGTCGAATCGATATACCTTACCTCCTTATCGAAGATAATTATTTCTGTTTTCAAAAACACTGTTATTAAATGACAAGTCATTTTTATATTTTCTAAAACCTAAATTACTAAAGTAGCTTGACTTTGACTTTGAACTCGAAAGTAAGGCATCGCGTGCAGTCTTCGCGACGCTTTGCATTACGCCAAGTTTTGTTGTGGTAGCTTCTGCAACGTGTTGACTTAATGCCATTGTGATGTATTGCGAACATGTGACAGTAAATTGAGGAGCACATTGCGCAATGTTAATCAAAAAAACGATTTATAATATGAAAAAATATTATAATCATAATAACATATTGAAGACTTCCATGAAAACATATAAAAATACTCACCGTCACGGAACACCTATCATTGAAGCTACACCGCGCTACGGCATTGCGTGTTGGTGACTTCACATAACCTTGAAAATATTTTTTAATGTCAAAGATAAGCAAGTTTTCTTGTAACGTTTTCCTTCAACGCCGAGCACGTGGTAAAACATCACTTAAAATTGCAAATAACATATTAATGATGATGATTATTCTGCTGTTCAAGTTGGACACCGGCAACAACTGCCGAATATTTTTGAAAGCTATCAACCAGCAGATCTACGTGCCCCTTAGTCCATGTCACACTCATGCAATAACATAAGAGGCACTGAATACAGGTTCACAAACGAGGGACAAACATTTTTTTTGCGTATTTGAACAAATGTTGGCTACAGCTGGTGAGGTAGGCACTCTAATATTGCGGTCATCTATGTCTTTTATATTCATAGAATTACACTGCTGAACGTTGGCCTCCTAAAGATTGCTTCATAGGGGTGGTTTTGCCATAGTTGCAACACTTGGCAGACGGGTTGCTAGCCTCAATTTTTTATAAACATCACTACTACATGTTAGGCTTAGTTATAAATCGTGTGATAATAAAAACGGACACAGAAACAGAAACTTTTTTATTTAATATAGATTATAAATAATACTTATTGAAAGGCACTCTTTTGTTTAATTTACCACTGGTTCGGAAGTAAAACCTTTGTCCTGGGAAGAACTAGCAGGAAAACCAGCGGCAATTTAAAAAAAAGAATTAAAAAAATTGTAAATGTGTAGAATTGATAATATTTTATTTCATAATTATTGTTTTGTTTCAGTGTGCAACTTCATAGTGCACGAGCGATGCGTGGGGCAGGTGGTGACGCCGTGCTGTGGGGTGGCGCCGAGCCTTATCAAGGTAATCTACGTGCTATTATCTGAACTGTGATTAACTTTTATTAACCGACTACAAACAAAGAAAGGTTCGTTCTTTTCGTCATATGTTTGAACATACGCGATTTGTACTAAACGACCGATTTCTATGATTCTTCCACTGGGGTCATATTTGTACTTATAGGAAGATTCTAGTATATAAAATATATGGGTTATTTAGTTATTTTTAATCGGTATTTAATTCGGTTCATTTAATCTTTTTATATTTTACACTTTTACACGTGGTAGAGCCATGCTGCAGCTATATTAGTAGTATAGTTGTAGCACGAATGGGTCTGTCTTTTTAATCTTTTAAATTCAAAATGCGTGGTAATGCATTATTTTAACTGATTGTACTACGCACGCACACATTCGTAAGGGTCGATCGGTAGGCAAAAAGGTTGTTGCCAATAAATCACATTCAATTTGGGATAATTTCAAATAAAAGTAGAAGCCTCATTTACTCGTATTTTCAAAAACTGCAATAACGGTATAACATTATTTATATATTTGAACTTAAGTTTAATAAATTTGGCAACTCTTTGAAAAATAAGCATGTATAATAAATCGTCCTTCATGTTTGTGTTATGTGTTGGCAGAACCCGGTGGCTCATTGTTGGTCCGAGCCGACACACCACAAGCGGAAGTTCTGCACAGTGTGTCGGAAACGGCTCGATGAACTGCCAGCTTTACATTGTATGAGTAAGTATGCTACGTGTTTTTTAAACTTAGTGATATTCAAAATTATTTCATCAAAACTAAAGAAGAAAGGCTATATTTTATCCAAAAACTTAAAGAATTTTTTTGAATAATACAAAAATGTATAAAACAAATGGTCTTCGATTATCCTAAATCCAAATAAAGCCACTAATAATTAATAGAACCTGTCCAGGCGAAATCGGAGGCGATCACTAGTCTACACTAATACTATAAAGAAATTGAGTGGTACACTCGGTTGGAACGAAGTTCCTTTCGTAGTATATTATTATTGATAACCGTACTATATTATTGATTAACAAATACAAATAACAGAATTACTAGCGTCTACTAAAATGAAGCGTTATTTAAAATAATATTTCTTTCATGGCAAAATAAGAAAAAGTGCGAGGGAGATGTATATTATTCCATCTCGCTCGCACTATAAAAAGGGTCGTGACGGAAAAATCTTACGCTTTTTCTCGCCTAGTCCCCTTCCGCCAAATTCGTACCGTGCGATAATGAACTTCGTTCCAATCATTAGCATATATTTCACTAGATAGAGTGACTGCCTATAAATCATAGAGGAAATGAGGGCATCCACAACTTTTTCTGCCACCAGGGCGGCGCCACTAGAAAGTGAGGTATAATATTTGACAGATTTCATAGCGCGGTAGTTAATTTTTTCGGAAAATGTAAAAGTTATTGTTTCTTTTTGTACTATTAGCTATATTTTATATTAATAACATTAAAAATAAATAAAACAAACCAAACAGATATTCATAAAAGTAGAAAATTAAAAAAAAAATTAAAAATGTGCAAAAAATTAAAGAGCAAACCACTGACACATTGTTTTGTGTATTAATATAATACTCTAGAAACTGATACACTTTTATTACAAAACAACTTCTCAATTATATTACATTGTGTAACAAAAAACTTTACCTCAGTGTCAACGAGCGACATCTGGTGAGCAGAAAATTATTAGCCCTCATTTATGGGCGAGGCCTGTGGTCAGCATGCTTGTTCTATTTGACATGCCAATTCTTTTAAATTTTAAGTTGGATTGTGCTGTTTAATACTATAAATACGTTAAACAAAATATTGGGAAATTTTATTAAAAAGGCATAAAATCATGCAGTTGAGAGAATAGCTACCACCTATATAAATATTATTATATGTATAAATGTGACTAATTTCTTACACAGTCGTTTTATAAATCCAAAAAACAACAAGAAATTGGTGGAAACGGATATATTATGTTATAAGCGAGTGGAGAGTTCCTAGACGTATAGAGTGCCGAAGAGCATTTCATAATATGTAATCTATTTAATAATCAAATTATTAATCCCTCTAACAAAAGTTAGAGTATTTCGACTTTGAGTAAACCTGAGACAGAAACTGAGTTTGCCCAAAAAATTAAATTTTGCTTAACAGATTTGCTTAAGAGATATTTCTTATTTTAGTAATAAATTGTTTTTATTTTATAGATCTACGAAGGGAGACATGAAAACTGACAAGTATTAATATTGTTATTATTGATATTAACATCGTAGTCTTGCTAGTAATGAAAATTTGTGCTCACTAAGTATAATGTTGCCAAGTCTAGCACCAATATATTCAAAGTTAACTATGAGATATACATTTATTTAATGTAAGCTATAAAATAATATTTAATAACGAAATTTTATCCCCCAATTTTTAATTTTCCCAAGATTTTATTTAGTTTCCATTTTTTCACTTTATATTTTCACAATTTTCACGCAAACTAAACTTGTTTCATCATTGCTAGAAACAGAATAGAGTTTTAAACATTTGTAAGGACTTTTGATTAACCCCTTGCTATTAAAATGGAAGAGACGGGGGAGGGGTAGAACGAAAATGGGGACCCCCACCTGCCAAATCCTGTTCCTCGAAGATCCATAGAGTTTTTATAAATAATTGTGTAAATTTATTGTATTTAATATGTAATTTAAATAAATTGTGTAAATTTCATAATTTTGTTCCAACATTTTGAGAGAAGAGGGAAAAAGAAAGAAGAGGGAAAAGGAAAGAGAGAGAGAAAGAGGGGAAATCCCCTTGCCGTAACCCTCCCTCAAAAATTCGTAGATATTTTTCATTGAATTTCAGTCAAAACTAGTTTTGAGTAAATCTGTGTGCACCAATCCCGATTTTAAGACAAATTAGTTTTTCCTAGGCTAAACTCATTTTTCCTAAGCCCAACAAGACTGAAAAAAAGATTTGGAAATCTTTAAGGCGTACTAACTGCCGCTACACTCTTCCCAACAAGATAAAACAGATATGTCTGATCTAGTTATGCCAGCTTACAAATAACTAGTTTAGCCAAGAAAACACTAGTTTGTCCTAAAATCAGCCATAAACATAATAAAAATTTACAAAAAAGTAAAACATGCTATCTATCCATTCCGGCGAGCAGCCTGTAGCCTTTATTTGGTGAAGTGAGTACATAATGGTGTTTTTCGAGATTTAAGATAGAAAAAAGCAATCGTCATTGACTCGCTACAATATCAATCTCAATATAATATCAGACCAGATGATTTTTCATTCAGCTTTTGTTTCCGTCGAAATTTGAGCGGCGCTAAAGTCCCTTCAGCGGTGCAAAGTTGACTGTCGGTATAACGAGGTGCTGAAGTGTTTGTACAATATTGCTACAATGGCTATTCGAGTACAGAACCAGAGTAAGAAACCTATCCAACTGCAGAGAGGTGTAAAACAGGGTGACGTTATATCCCCGAAACTCTTCACCGCTGCATTGGAAAACGTTTTCAAGCTACTGTACTAGAAATGATACTGTACTGTAACATCAATGGCGAGTACATCACTCACCTTCGATTTGCTGACGATATAGTCCTTATGGCAGAATCACTGGAGGACCTAAGCACTATGCTCAATAACCTCAATAGTGACTCCCAACGGATAGGTCTTAAGACGAACATGGACAAAACAAAGATAGTGTTTAACGTCCATGACATACCTATGCCAGCACTACGCTCGGAAGCACTACGCTCGAAGTTATTGAAGAGCATGTTACCTGGGATAAATAGTCAAACTTGGTAAGTCCAACTTCAACTGAGAAGCCAATCGAGGGATTAGACTCGGCTGGGCAGCTTTCGGGAGATTACGACACATCTTCTCGTCAGGTATACCTCAAAACCTGAAAACGAGATTGTAAAACCAGTGCGTGTTGCTAGTGATGAGTTATGGATCTGAGACGTGGTCTTTCACTGCTGGCCGTAATGAGGAAGCACAAGGTCGCTCAGCGAGCTATGGAGAGGGCTACGCTTGGGGTTTCACTGCGTGATAAACTTAGAAATGAGGATATTCGCAGTAGAACTAGAGTAACCGACATAGCTCAACGCATTACTATGCCGAAGTTTCAATTGGCCGGCCATATAGGTCGAAAAACCGACCACCGATGGGGAAGAAAGGTTTTCGAGTGGCAGCCTCGTACCGATAGACGAAGTGTAGGGCGTCCCCCCACTAGATGGAGTGACGACCTGGTAAGACATGCAGAGAGTCGATTGATGCAGGTGGCTATGTTCAGCAGTGGACTTGTGACGATGATGACACTAGATGGGACTAAATGTTTAACTTGGTTTGAATATTCCAATATACAACTAATCTTTAAGACTTGCCGCTAAAACAGGACAAATACTGAAACTGATATTAAAGGCTTTTAAAAAAAATTACTTCGCAAATATCCGCGTTATGAAATAAAATGTTGTGTCTTACCTAGTATGAAGAGCACCTCCCGCCCTCCCTCAATTGCGTGCACTATCCCCGTCATATATATATTTTTAAAACGTTACCCCCACACTAGGATTTTCTCCTGTGTCATGGAGGCAGTTTACAAAAATAAATTGCGCAAGGACAAACATTCAGACCCGGAACAATTACCGACCGTGCGGGATGCGAACCCGCGCCTCCCAGCGCAAGCAACTCATTGCTAAGCCACTGCGCCACGGAGCCGTCTCTGATATGAAACTGATATTATTACTTACTTCACAAATGATTAGCACCCCATATTTCGTACGAGCGGCGTGTGCGGAAGTGTACTATAATCTATATTTAATCTAGAGGAAAACCTACGGAACGCCCTTGTCCACATTTACTAACAATTAAAAATTCTAATTGAACTGTGCGTTAAAATACGTTCTACTTATTCATTTAACACAGATATCAATTAGTGTAGAGAGTAGAGTTTAGACCCAGTAGCGTTAACAAAAAAGTGGTGTCACTGTCACTTTGACTTAAAGTGATAGAGACAGCACGAGTTTTAACGTCATCTTAAAATTGAATTGCTTTTGAGTATTAGGGCATAATGTTTTTTTTTATACCGAGTGGTAGCGGCGTAAGAGAATCCATCACCAAACTTCATCCCATGGGTGCCGTAACACTAAGAGGCTTACTATAGTATATGCAAAAGAAACCTATAGTTGCCGAAATAATATGTCGATATAATAACCATCTCTTTTGAGACTTAAATTAACCAGACCTGCCACGGGCAGGAGCGTCAAAGGCGTAAAACGTCTGATATTGCCAATCCGCCTGCCAACCGTGACGATTAACGCAATCCCTCCCTGCAACGGGGAGGGGGGGACCCAAGAAAAAGAGGAAGAGCCGTGGTAGCTTAGCTCACCTACTCGCTGTAAATTTCACACCAATGGAATTGTTAATTGCAATTTTAAGTGCTGATTTACCACGTGCTCGGCGATGAAACAAAACATCATGAGGAAACCTGCAGGTCTGAGAAATAAGAAAAAAAAATATTTCAAAGACATATGAATTTTGCGAACACGCTATGGGCAACGCGGTGGACATTTCCTTGCCCTAAAACCTGCTCAGAGATTAGAGGAGGCCTGTGGCCACTGCTGGAGTGGGACGTATATATAGGCTGTAGCTTTTACTTTAACGAAGAAAAAGAAGCGTTATTCATTTATTTCTATATGATTAAAGTATGCGAGTACTACGTCCACGGCGAGTGCGTGGACTTCGCGGCGGCGGACTGCAAGGAGAACGCGACGTACTGCGCGGGCAGCGAGCCGCGCCACGTGCACCACTGGCGAGAGGGCAACCTGCCCGCCAACTCCAAGTGTGCCGCCTGCCGCCGCGCCTGCTGGTCCACCGAGTGCCTCACAGGCTACCGGTGCGAGTGGTGCGGAAGCGCGGTGAGCAAATTAAAGATAACACTATACGTGGTAGAGCCACGCTCCAGCTATATTATGGTTGTAGCACGAATGTGGCTTGACCCGGATAGGACCACGCTCTCACAGGATACTAGCGTAAAATAGCATTTAAATGCTGTTGTGTTACGTGTTTAATGCATTCTGTATTTTGATTCTTAATTGAGTATTAACGTAGTTGTATATGGGCCACAGCATCCACCTACCTTCAGGTGGACTGCGTGCTCGTTTATTACCCTTATTCTATAAAAAAAAAAAACATTACATAGAATGACTCCTTTTCTGTCTACGATTCCGTCTGGGTAGCTACCGCACTCTTACTAATTCCTGTTGTGAAGCAGCAAGTGGCACAGAGCTGTGTTCCGGTCTGAAATTTCTTTTTTTTTAAATGTAGGTAATCAGTATAGTTATAGGCTAAGAGGCCTTCCATCTCAGTCCTCAATGGTGACAACACATCTGTAGCCTTTTTGGGTTGTTTGCAGGTGTCTGTGGGCTGCTGTCCACTAAACCTTAGGTGACTCCTTGAGTATTTCAGATAAACAAAATATCTCATTAATATGATGACAAATATTTCATATCAAAAATAATGAATTGTTGAAAAATGGTTACATATTTGACTCAAAATAATTGGGCTATTTACTTTAATATTACTCTTAAGTTCCTTCATTAGCTTTCCCAAAATTTTCTTAATCTACGCATTTTAATTATCCATCGTAAACTATGCATAACCCCAACTTGTTGTGGGAAATAATTTTAGTACTGAAAGCCCCAATCTTACTTGGAAATCTTCGTCGCCAGAGTGGTTATTTAAGTTTGGATTTATTGAGACCATTGGGTTATATGTACTACGTACTAGAGAAGCTATTCCAAACAAAAATTGTACGCTACTCTATGTAATCGCGCATGCGCGGGAGAATCTAGTGCGTAGTACATATATATATATATATATATATATATATATATATATATATATATATATATATCGATGATTGAGACACTTGTTAAGGCTTTACAACACCAATGGAGGAAGTTAGGACCAGCGCAAACCGGTGGACGGCACTTCAGAGTGCATCCTTTTCGATGCTCCGAAGTCGTTCCCCCAGAACATCATTTCACACAACAATCGTGAATTTTGTTAAACAGTGTCACGCTGGATGCCGCGCCCTAATCCCTGAAGAATGCAACTTCGGGATGCTGCAGCCGATCTTCCTCCCTCCATCGGCGGTTTCAATCCCACGCACGGAAGTGCCGATGGAAGCTATAATCGGCGTGCACGTGCGCCCCCCACCCTCACAGCGGGACTTCGGATGCCGTAAGTATTCCCACTCACCCCTCAGTTCTCCGAAGCGTCTCCCGCGCCCGTGCTTTTGGCCCCACACATCGCCTCGCTGATACAGCTTCGCTCGCAACTTGATCGAATCATTTCTGCCAACTGAGTCCATACTTTTCTTCCGCTTAGGTATATTAAAGTATTTACTATACATAAGTAGTACGCATCAAACGAAACTGTATACCTTTGTTGATCCATTTTATACTTATGTGCAAGTAGGTTTGATTAAATTAATCCTCTAGAATTTGTTCATCGAAATTGGCCTTCAATTCTATGTCATGCTAATTTACATTGTATAGAGTATAATAAAACTCTTATTAAAAATATTTAAAACAAAACCTAACGCCATTTTTACTAAAAATATAAAAATATGTCGTCTGATAGACCGAAAAATTTTGATCCATAAAGTTATTATTAGTATATCTTCAGTCTTGTATAATATTTTAGTAACCTACAACTCTAAGTTAGATTTCTGCATACGTTTCCTATATTATTAATAATAATTCTAATGAAAGCATGGTCCTCGGATATAATTGTATTTATATAGCACTGTTTCCTTCTTTCTTTTGACTATTGCATCTCCTATTTAACATTCAAAATTCTGGCATAACGATACGCAACATATTATGTTCTGTCAAAGAAATAACAGTTGCATCGTTATTGTTTCCTCCTCCACCTATGCCTTTAGTTGTAATAGACTGAAATATAAATAATTAGTATTTTAACATTATTTTTAATCATCATTTCCTCTATGTTTCGAGTAATAGATAGATCGAACTTTGCCTTTCATTACGCCGTATTAGTTAGTGGTCGGTTAATTGGGTGTATGTCGGTACGCGGACGGTCGAGCGGGCGAGCGGGTCGTAGGGTAGTGGGGTCGCATGGAGGTGGGTAAGAGCGTGTGTTTGGGCAGCGCGGGAGGTCCACGGCGGCTGGCGCGGCGCGCGGCTGGCGCGGCTGGCGCGGCGCCTGCTGCCGGCCGCCTGCAGCCCGCACGGCGGCGCCTCGCCCCCCTACTCCAGAGGTACCGCGGCTACTGCGCCCCGACCACAGCATGACTCGCCGCTGACCTGAGCCGAACTACTCACCATATATAAATACTATTCCACCAAAATTATCACCGATTTCTTAATAGTTTTATAGTCTAAGCCAGGTGTATGGAGTGTAGAGTACAAGGAGAACCATCTTATAAGGGGCGAAAGTTGAAAAAGTGTCCTACTATTTACTGAAAATAGAGGTTCCAAAACCTACCACAATAGCGCTGGCGTCTGAAACACTACGATATGAAGATAGCTGTTGTGAACGGAGTGAAGTCAGCTGAATTCAAATATTTAAAAAATTTCATGACTAGAGTAGTTACTAAAATGCATTTATACAAAATCTCAACTATTTACGTAGTACAAAACCAAGCGGATTGGTCCTTGTTTATTTCTCCATCTTATTCTAATTACTTTTGGCACTTTTTTTAATTTATCCTATGCTACTGCAGCGCCACCCTTATTGGACACGTTTTTAGGGACACTTTTCATATATAGATGGTCCTCCTTCTACTCTACACTCCATAGCCAGGTGGTACGTCTTTGACGCCATTTTACTTTCACGTCTCACACAACATGGCCGCCCACACTTAGTACCAGTACTTTCAAATCTAGAGCGAATGAGAAGATAACAATAAATTAATGATTAATCGTAGTTCTGTTACGGTCAGCAAGTTAACGCTTTAACGTTTTGCCTAAATCGAGATAAACAACAAAACCATAAATACCATATAAAATACATAGCTCATTAAAATTAAACTTAAATCGAAACTGTACTACATATTCTGAAAAAAAAATGCATGTTTAAACGCTTGCCTGTTTCGTTTTCGTTTTCAATCAGACACATACACAAGAAATTTAAAGAAAGTGTAGCTATCAACTAATAATATGAACTAATAAATTATTAGCTATGTATAAGTTTGGGTATCAACAAACCACACGTGTCGTATTCTAGAAAGGCGTATATAGGAAATCTTTGCAAAGTTCAAGTATTTACGTCTATTTAACAAAAAAAATTCTGAATTTATAATATAGGTAGGTCATATATACACATACGTTGAAAATCTAAGGTTTCATCATTATTTGGACTTTAAATAAAGTTTTGCGGATGTCCTAGCTACGCCTGTGGTCCTATTTACAACTGAGTTTCGGCGGTGCCACAAGAATACTCATGATGCAGTATTCCAACAGTCTAAGGTAACAATAACAATTCGGTTTAATATGTGCCGCCATAGTACTTAACATATTTAATCTGTGTTGCTATAGCAAGAACACGGCTTTTAGACTGTGCGTACTTTCAAATGATTAATTTTAAATATTTATTTTCTAAATGTTATTTACAAAGTTTATAAAAAAAACACTTCATAATAACTATTTATTGAATAACCACCATTAAAACTTTAAAAAATCCATACTTATATAATTTTTTGTTATATGAAAGTTTGAAAGAGAAGCATTTTTCTACATCTTTCAATAACTTGCTATAAAAATAACCAATCATAAACGAGGATACGCTTAAAAATCGAATCGTTAATCCAACTATTACCATATTTTCATTACAGATATGTCAATTAAAGTTATAGGTATTATTTTTTAAAGTTTGCAACGGCTAAAACAAAAATACCTAATTTATTTGAAAGTACGTACTGATACCGTAGTTATAATTGTTTTCGATTTTGAATTAAAAAACGCAAAGAACACAACATCTTAGATAGTGTGATTAAAATTACGTTTTCTTAGAAAAGTCATACCTACTTTATTTTTGAACTAAAATATACAGTCTAAATAAAATTTATAGTTCGTATAATGCTGCACAGCTTGTATGAATACTAAAAACAATATAATAAACTCTAAAATAAATAACTTCATTACTCGATATACCTTGAGAACATTTAATATATTTTAAAATATTTATTAGCAATACATAAACTATAACCGTAAAACATAGGTTCAAACAACAAGTACTTGTATCTGATCGAAAAGGAAAATTTGAGAAATGTTTACGAAAACTGAAAGTTTTCCTTAACATTTTAAGAAAATCCTCACAAATTTTGTACTGTATGTCTAATAGATTATAAAAGGTGTGAAAGCCTGCGAAGCTCGCCCTATACTGTAGAATATTGAAGCAACTCAACGTACTTATCTCTACTCCATTCCAAAAAGAAAGAGTGCTAATTAGCATGTATAAGTAGCGGCACGAAAGTCTAGCGGCTCTATTGGTTCCAATCAGCGCGTGCGAACGACACGCATGAGCCAATTAGCGCTACGTATACGCAATAAGACAATCAGCGCGACTTATGCGCAATAACAGTCACCGCTAGCCTTTCGTGCCGCTACTTATACATGCTAACTAGCTCTCTTTCTTTTTCGAAGAGAAATCGCATTCGTGCAATTTAATTCGTGCGCGTCCCCTCCACGTTTCGTTCAGCGTTAGACTTACGTGCCGCGTAACGTACCTACTCAGGACTTTTGTGACGACTATCACTATACTTAACTTTTAAACTACAATATTTCAAAATATATATCAAAAATATTGTATATCTTTTTATACCAACTGCTTAGGAAGGCTTTTAGAATTGATTAGCCTTCGCTCCTACTACATACAACACTTTAAGGAAAATGAAAGAACATAATTAAATATGCTTAAACTTAAATGGCATTAGACCTCGGTAAAAAATAAATCTACGAAAAGCGTCCCTCGTAAATAAATGTTTTTGTAACTAAAATTATAACCAACATAGTGCTAATACAATTCTGTAGAGAACCAACGTTTGATAAAGAAGTATAATTTTTTTTATTAACTTCTTTTTATTAAGTTACAAAATCAGTACAGATTTTTGTGTTATATGTCTAATTGAATATAAATGTCAAAGTATCATTACACATGATCATTAAATATGATAGAGACTACAAAAAATGCTAAGTCTCAAGATCGGAGACGTATCAGTGTTTATGGGTGGGTTAACGGGGCAATGGGGGTCGCATGTGAGCGATATGGGGTGTTGCAGCGCGCAGCGTGAGCGAGGAGTTCAGCTCGGGGTGCGAGGGCCGCTCAACCACCGGCTCGACAGGAGCGCCGTCCGATCAGGAACACCGACCCGACCACAAGCAACACCGTGATAGGACCCCCGATGACAGGGATGAAGGTAAGAAACAGAAGTAGAACTAACGCGGTCTCATCCCAAATATTCAATCGCTACTCAATTTAAAGTTACCCTTAAGTCTCGTGCTGTCTCTATCACTTTAAGTCTAAGTGACTGTGACACCACGAGATTTAACGGCGTAAAATTCAGTAACTGAGTATTTGGGCATCAGTTTCTCAAAATAAATGACTGTACGAATAAACAGGCGGCACGAAGTCTGCTAATTTTAATTTTTGGTTCAAATCAGAGCCAATATACCTAGCTAATATTTCTGTTATTAAGAATTTAAAATGATTCGGGTAGCATGATTGTCAAACACCTAATAATAAGGCTTGTGAAAAACCTCGACGTCATCACAAATAAATTCCATAGTTATTCAATTGTTTTTACAAAAATCTTATTTGTTTTGTCTTTTTAGTATTAAGCCCTGTATGGCTTATTTATTGAAGGCAGAAAATATTTCTGAATTGTAAAATAAAAAAGAAACCTTTTAAAATAATAAATATGAGCCGTGAGCCGTGGTAACTCAGTGGCAAAGAGCGCTCGCCTTATATAATATTTACCATAGGCGAGCAACAAGGGTTTGATACCCGCTAGATGAAATAGTAGTTGCAATCACTGATTTAGCACGTACTCGTGAGTAAAAGAAAACATACAGAACCTGAATGTCTGAAAAATAAAAATATGTATAAGACGTGTCCGCCAACACACACTGGAGCAACGCAGCAGTCTAATTGCTCCACGACCCTCTCAGAAATACAATAAAAAGAGGCCTGTGCTAAGCAGTATGCTGTATTACTGTATTATTACAAAATTGTCAGTCATGAAATATTAACTAACACGGAAAAATATTTTCATTTACAATAACTTAAACTAAGAATTGTATCTAAATAATAGATCCTTAGAAATATTTGTCTAATGAATTTTGACAACAACTTAGCTATAAATTACTAATTAATTTCACATTGATAATGTTGTTACTTCGAGCCCGATATTAAAACAAACATCTTTTTATTAGTTCTTTCTAATCTATAATTACTTTTACTAAATAAAAGTATTAAACTTGTAATAACACAGTCTAACATTGTTGTCGATGAAACAGAAGTGGTCAAAGTGTACGACGGTGAAGCGGCGTGGTCGCGTCGCTTATACCGGCCGGTAGTGGTGGGTCGGAACTGGAATGAGCGGGAGTTGGTGTCGGCGGCACTACGGGCCTTCCATGTGGCCCGAGACCCCGACCAATTTGAATTGACGGACGCCCTAGCTGGTGACGAACCTCCGCTAAAGGATCCAACGCCTCTGGCTAGGGTCACACGCTTACCTAATAAAAGGCCTTCGCTCTTCCTGCGTTTCAAGTAAGTGAGATTTTAAAATGCCACCTTTTTATTGCAATCTAATTCGTATTCTCTTACTATTCTTCTTACTATTTAATGATATGAAAACACAATTAAATAATAAGCAACAGTGTTAAACAGTAATAATGTTCAATAAAGAAAGTGCTAGAATTTTTTTTATTTAAATGTGTAGTGTTCGCGTAAATATAAGAAATCATTAAATATACAGTTTTATACTGGGATATGGACCGCGCACTTAAAAAGTCATAAAGTTTGGAATCGTTATTCGGCTACAGTCGTGAACCATATCTAATTGAAAGCATTTTATGCTTACTTGAAATAGTTGATAGAAAGAAGTAGTCATATTAACACAATTACTAATTATTTTTAATGTAATGTTTTAAAACGTATTTTATTTCTTTAATATCAAAAGATCGAGATGAACACTATTTTTTAAATATCTTTACAACTGATCAGGATTATGAACTTAATTCAATTATCTACTCAAATCATGTTTTCTTTCTTTGATAATAGACTACAGACGTACGGTTATACTTTCGCCAGTATCAAGTAATCGGAAATCATTCAATAGAATTATTTGTTTGAAAACTCTTTCACAACATGTTGATGTGTCACATTGCGAGGTCTATGACCTCAGTTCGAGCCAGCAGTTTTACAAATCAAAATCCACTACAAAATATTATTTAAATAATAATACAGGAGCAGCAATCCACGGCCGGTCAAGTTCCCGCCAAAACTTCATGTTCTTTCTTTCTTTCTTTGGTAATGAACTCGTACGGTTGTACTTTTGCCAGTGTCAAGTAATATGAAATTATCCCGTAAAATAATTTGTTTATAAACTTCTTCACAAGATGTTGATGCGAAATTTTTGGGATATTTTGACAGCACCTTGAGCCAGCAGACATTAAATGACGATAGTACCTCAAAGCACCTTTGCGAGCACAATAATTCGAGGTTCACATCACCATCGGGGTACTTGTTTCATCGTTTCCATTTATATTTCACGTGCGAGCAGTGATCCGGCGGCAACTAAGTTCCCGCCAAAACTTCATGATCTCTATTTTTAAAACAATGCTTATAAGGGCGCTCGTACACTAGGGAGCCGGAGAGCGGTGGCGGCGAGGTGCGCGTATTCCCGGGTCGAGTGGCCGGCGCCGGCGACACTTTCGTGACGGTGCCGTGCTCGGGCGAGCACGCCGTCGCCGACCTCATGGCGGCCGCGCTCGAGCGCTTCGGCCTCGACCCTGAGCGCGCCGTACACGACTACCGCTGCTCAGAGATTCTACTCGATCGAGGCGGTTAGTTTACACCATTCAAACACTTCTATGTATACCACTAGATGGGCTCTGCGGCCTTGATAATTGCACACTAAGTTACGGTCAATCCTCCTTAACTCCTTTAATCGACTGCGAGCAACCGAGACGAATAGTTCTTTGTTTTGTAAACCGCGAACGTTTTTCACGACAATCTAACACTGATTTTGTTTAATGTGACTAAAAAAACGCTGTCGTTATTTATGTGTGCAATTTGTCCACGTGATTTGAAGTTCATTTCAAATAATTCGTAAATGAAAATGCAACTGCGTGGTATACTTACCGTGCCAACTACCCGGACGACAGCGGGACACGCTCGTGCGATCCACAGCTGTGACATAGTTTTTGTTCTGAATTGCAGGTCAAGCTTTTTTTTTATAATATGTGACAAGCGAGCACACAGTCCACCTGATGGTAATTGGTTGCTGTGGCCCACAGACGTCTACATTTATCCTCGTTTGCGAATCAAAATGCAGATGCGTTATCAGCTGTGAGAACTAAGATGGAATGCCTCTTTTCCAGTAAAAAGGATCTCCGGTTCTCTACACTCACCATACGAAACACAGCAGTGTTAAGTTGCTATTTCACGCTGGTATTCTGTGAGAGCGTGGTCAAAATTTGGGGGAAATGGGACGAAATGGGGCATCCCTTCGCTCCATTTCGTCTCATGGGTGTCGTAGAAAGCAAATGTCGAAAAGGCCATAAAATATGGCCGCCGATAGATGGCGGCGCATCCATCTCGTTTACGTCAGACGTAAAATACTGAGACGGACGATAGGCAGCAGCAGATACGAGAGCGAGACATCTGGTACTGCGGTCGTCAAGTTGCCTGTGCCAAGAGTAATTATTAAGGCCCGTATTCAAATATGTGTCAATAAACGAGTTTAGAAGAACATGTTCAAAGTTTGTCAATAAACAAGTTTAAAAGTTTTATTAAAGAAAAACTGTACAAAAAGGGTTATTATAATATCAAGGAATACATGAATGAAAATAACCCCTGGGAATAAGGTGATTGCCACCATGCTGGTTCTATGAAAATTCTTTAAAATTGTATAAACAAAATTATTGTTAAGTGAAATTATGTTTAAAAAAAAGTCCCGCTGGGTTTCTTGCTGGTTCTTCCCACGACAGAGGTTTTCCGAACCAGTGGTAAATAAAATAATGACTTTTAATAAGTATTACTTAATAATCCATATTGAATAAAATTCATTCTATTCTATTCTATTCTATTAATAACCGTTACTCAGCTCAAGTACACGCACTTGAGTACAATATTAAGTTTATGATCTTATTAATAAACATAATATCTCAAGATGTGGTTTAGGTTTACGATATCAGCTGAGTGCCACGCTGATTAATAAAACAAACTCGACTCTTCAAGTGTGTGTACTTGAGTGCAATTCACAGAACAGTATTCCCAAGTAAAGCGTTTTGAGATACTGTTTTTATGTGTTTATTAATTAGCAACGATCTTGAGATGCTGATATCGTAATGAGGGCGTATCAAATGATTACGTTCGTCGTTAAGTAACGTTTATTGTGAAATAGTGAAATAGTCTGCAGTTATAACACAGCTGCAACTAAGACAATGTTCAAATTATTTCATGTTCAAATTGTTTTCGGATCTTCTCACTTTTAACATTGGGTCGTAAGTAATTCAGTCAATTAAGGTCAATTACATAAAAACCCACGGGTGTCGATAAAGTCAATAAATGCAATATCGACGATAGCCTGCAACTACCGACAAACAGCAGGATACGTTTAAAATTTGCTAAAACCTACCTAATATCTAACCGCTGTTTATTGGTTGTGTGTAAAACAAAAACTTGAATATATTTATGGCGACACATTGAAAACCGTTGAAGCGGGCTATCGCCGGACTAACCAGAGTAAAACATAATTTCTATAAAAACTTTCAAAACGCCGTCATAAGGTCTAAAATTGCGTAGTGCCCGTGACGACTAAGAGCGCTTAGAAATCGCTTAGAATCTTAAAATATTTAAAAAAATTATTGATTTCCGTAATCAAAATAATGAGCAAGTAAATTACGAATATTGATGTTATGAATGTATTTGAGTGGTTTCCAAGCATATAGATTAAGTAATTTCGTTGTAATTTCAACTATAGTGATTTTTTAGAGGTGTTTTCGAAAATAATTATGATCGACTCAAAATTTTACAATCGTGTTTTTGAGCAAGCAAACTCAAGATGAACATGAATTTACCTATATCAAAATTCCAGTTTCGTTAGCCGTGTCATACTCCTATACTATTCGATGAAAGAGGTGCATTTTTTCGCGGTGTCGCCTTAAGACTATGGATCCGTCACCACTTCGCACGGGTGATTTCTGGATATCGACAACAGCGCCACCTACCGGGTCCAATTGTGAATCGCTTAGATCATCCAGGGACCCACTCAAACACACAATTTCATCAGAATCGATTGAGCCAGTTCCAAGTTTTAGCGAGACCAACTGACAGCAGTTGATTTTTATATAAAGAGATATTTCGTGTGATCATACTTAAATACGAATTTTATACGTGGTAGAGCCATGCTGCAGCTATATTAGTGGTATAGTTGTAGCACGAATGGGTCGGCTCGACCGGGGAAGGACCACGCTCTCACAGAAAACCAGCGTAAAATAGCAGCTTAACGCTGCTGTGTTTCGTATGGTGAGTGTAGAGAACCGGAGACCCTTTTTACTGGCAAAGAGGCATTCCATCTTAGTCCTCACGGGTGACAACGCATCTGCATTTTAAGTCTTTATTGAGGATAGATGTAGATGTCTATGGGTCGCAGTGGCCACTTACCATCAGGTGGACTGGATGCTCGTTTGTCACCCTATACTATAAAAAAAAACGAAACAGAAATTACATTACTTATTACCGGCTTTTTAAGTCCACTGCTGTACATAGCCTTTCCATTCTTACATTGAAAATTGATTGAAGGCCGGTGAGTTGTACCGATTTATGAAATCGAATCGATCGATTTTCCACCATTAGTCATTCATAAGAAACTCGTTCATCATTCAGCGGAAAATAAAGCTTGCACATAAGATTTAAACTTAGACAAAAAGTAAGCATACTATCCCTTTAGTTTTTAATCATTGTGTTGATTGTAAACTATTTAAAAAAAAGTCCCGCTGGGTTTCTTGCTGATTCTTTCCAAGATAGAGGTATTTTCCGAACTAGCGGTAAATTAAACGTATGAGTGACATCAATAAGTATTATTTATAATCTATATTGAATAAAAAAAATCTATTTCCAATCCTAAGCGCTCGCCGTGATTTCGTAGTATGCGAGCAACAGAGGTCGAACCCCGCTGGCACTATTGAAATTGTGTCGCTAAGGTGAACAGTGCGTGGTAAACCTGCACGTTTGCTGATCAAAAAACAAACAACCACAGTCCAACAACTCAGAAATGAGAAATCTGTGCTTAGAAGTGGGCCATATACCGGCTAAAACTATATTTTACTTTTCACCCCGTACCACAGCAGTATCAGAACGTGTCCTCGAGGAGGACGAAAGGCCTTGGCGCATAGTGGTGCGGCTCGCGCGCGAGTCGGTCCGGCGCATGGAGCTGGCTCGCTTCTACCTGCAGCCGCGCCGCGACCCGCACGGGCCCACACTCGCGCTGTTCGTCGCCTCCCTACCTCCCGGCCTCTCCGAGCGCAACTACGAGAACATTCTCGTCGAGTTCCTCGGTACTGGTGAGTCGCCATTCTCCTCACTTACGCACTTTCTTGTATTGCAGTTATTCGATCTGATGGCGCGCAAGTAAGCAAGCCAGCTCGCTTCCTTGTCACACATGAGTTCCTGTTATTTTATAGATGAGAAATAGATACACCATTTGTCTAAATCGCTACATCGCCAGGTATTTATTTGTAAGTTGTCTGATCGTTGTTTATATTTAAGAAATTCTTAAGTAGCAGTCCAGAGTCAGATAGTTGGCGGTATTTCATTTCCGAGCTTCTGAAAGTACGTAAAGCCGGTGCCCGCGGTTGATCTCTATCTTGTCGTGTCAGATTCTCGTCTCATTAGACTATGAGAGTTGGGGAATAGAAAGTGCACTAGTGCAACACTCATGCACTATAATCCTGTCCTGCGCAAATTGAAATGAATTGTTTATAGAACTTTATTCATTGACTGCCTCGACACTAACGAACACTTGCCACTTCTAATGTGTTCATATTCGCCCTTCTCTGGATCTTTTCGGTGTATACTATAAGTATTCAATGAGCTCTCTCGCGCCTCGAAATCTTGCTGTAGGTTTCTTCCTAAACCAATTTCAGATTTATTTGAGTTTTGTTGCCAACAGTAAGTTTACCATACGATTTCATCATTTATTTATCAAGGAATATGTAAATGGGTCTACAGAAATACATGCGGGTATATCATACGCGTTTATTAATATCTGTGGCCGTAGAAGGAAAAGGAGGAGATCTCCCGTCGGGCAACGAGTTCAGCCCGTGGAGTGGCCAACTCCGTGTGTTATTTCGGAGCTGTTCTATATATAGTGCGTTACCTTCAGAACTTTGATAGCGCGATTTAGGCGGTGTGTTTCGCTTGCGGTGCGATGATAGCTCCGCCATCCATACAACACAGAGGACCAAGTCAGGGAGTGAATAACAATAATGATAGAATGATAGGATACGATACAGATGAAATAAATGTAAATATTAGGGACTTCATGTGCCAAAAGTCTTTATTTTTACATATTCTTATTTCCTCTATTAATAGCAATCATAATTTCAGATATGAAAGACTGCAGACAAGACATATATATAGTTATCCAACAAAAACTGCGTTATCTTTATGTGAGCACAGCCAAAAATAGTCGCGCGTTGACCAATTCAATTTTTTTTTTGCTAAAATGTTGAGACGACAGCCTCGTACTCGCAAAGCTTTTAGATGTCACCCACTCAATGAAGTGATAACGTGATAAAACATGCAGAGAGCAAACGGATGCAGGCGGCTCAGGACCATGCTTTGAGACAATCTTAGATTACCTATTGTTAGCCGTGGCTGTCTTGAGCTGATGGGCTAAAGTTGACTGTAATGTAGATATTGAAAGTGCTATAAGAATAAGTCAATTCATATTCAATAGTATGAGTAAATACTCGCATAATATTATTTAAGAAAAAAAAACACAACGATATTATGCCTCTACCTTTACATGCAATTAGGGTTACCAGATGAAAAAATTAAAAGTCCGGAGAAGAGGCCTGATTTCCATTTAAAAATCCTGAGATTGTTTTACAGTTTGAGAAGAAAACCTTACTTAAAAAGGTATCTTCACATATTAAGTATGATAAAACTGTTTAAGTACCTACTTGGATAAATAAGTTTTGATTTTAATTGTGGAATTATTACCAAAGGAAAATTATTTTTAGTTTGTTTAACTTTTTATTAAGAGATCTTTTAAAATGTAAGCTGTATTATATTGAAAGTTCTAAAAATCCTGAGATTTCATGAGATTTGCAAAATCCAGCCGCAATCCTGAGAAGAGTCTAAAAATCCTGAAATCTCAGGACAAATCCTGAGATATGGTAACCCTACATGTAATGTATTCGATGTGATAAAAACTTCAATCACTAATAAAGAATTAAATACACAATCAGTGACAAAAAATGTCCTTAGCGAATGAGCGCCCACTCGAACATTTGGGTGCGCTTTTAATTTATACGTAGCTTTGTGAATGCAACTTTAGGCAATGCAATTAAGGTTGAATTTACATTAATGTATATTTATTTCAAATAGAATTACGTCAAAACAATTGGCGACAGTTTTTAGAGAACTTTTGCATAGAATTGTGTATCTAGTTTCTTATTAGTGATCAATGGATAAAAATGAACTACTTTTTACTTTATCAAATAGTTCCTGCAGTTCTTGCTACACTGTTGTCTAATAAATAAGTTATCTAAAATTCGCTTTGAGCTTATTGTAGAGAAAACGAACTATTTTTACCATACATACAATTTCAACGAGGAAAACTTGTAATTTCGCGTTTTTTTTTTTTTTTGTAATACTCTACTTAATATACTGTTTAATATGAAATACTCTCCGACAGAAAACAAGTTCACATCGATCGGTCCGATCTACTATGAATACGGGTCGATGGTGATCACGTACGAGGACGCCAGCAAAGCTGTGCGCGCGCTGTATGCACTCCGAGAGGCCAAATATGAAGATAAACCTTTATTAGGTAAGTAAAACGCCAACAATTAATTATTGAAGTGGTAAACTTCTTTATTCACAATAAAATTTAAAAATTAAGCTGTGTGCCACTTACATTGGCATAATGTAATGGCGCAATGGGCACCCCAACCGGTTGAAGTGAGAAAATTATCACCTTAGTATTGCGGTCAGAAGCACACATACTATATGTTTATTTACTAAAGACTTAAAAGAAACTAATTTGAATTTATACGCCTTCAGAACTTTCTTATGAATAGAAATGTATTTTTATGAATCTACTTAAGATCAATCATAACATATTATATCAATAATAATAACATACTTAACAATATTACCCCTATAATTTACTGTTATTTGATAAATAATATAGTCTTATTAAAATACTAACCAAAAATTAAAAGTTCATTTTTAATCTAAGTGTGAATTGAAAGTTATTAAATGTACTCTGTGATCGCAAATAAAAATTACACTAGAAAATGTTTTCCCCCCATCCCTAGTTTTTCATCATTACGTTTTTGATAAACCCAGTTCCGTCTGTAGCCTGAGGGCACATGGGGAGCAAACCCAGTGCCGGCGGCCTGACGGGTGCCCCCAAATTGTTAAAACGCAAACCTACGTGTATATACATATATACCTAAGTACAATTAAAACAGATTTTTCTCTTGTATATTCTACAACTGACAATACAAAATCAATCAAGTAGTTTTATTTAAAATAAAATCAAATTTTACAGTTTTAAAAACTGTATACCTCATCATTTTCTGTTTAGTCATGTTGCTGCCAAGCATCGAACCGTCAATGGTCCCGGCGGGTGTAAAACCACTTCTAGTTTTCGTGAACGTGAAGTCGGGTGGCTGTCAGGGTCTGGAACTTATCTCGTCGTTCCGGAAGCTTCTCAACCCTTACCAGGTGTTCGACCTTGAGAACGGCGGCCCCCTGCCAGGGTAAGTACTTGATTACAACATTTTTTTTTTGTTTTATTCCCACTGATACGATAATTATACTATTGTATTTATTAATAAAAATAAACATATACATCTTTCATAGACCCAAAATCAAGATGCATTGTCACCCCCGCGAACTATTATGGAATGCCTCGATTACAGTAAAAAGGGATCTCCTTTCTAGTATATGTAATACCATATTAAGTTTAGCAGCATTAAGCTGCTACTTTACGCTGATATTTTGTAAGAGAGTGGACTTACTATTGCTGTAACGTGGCTCTACCCACGTATACTGTTTTTATCAGTAATTTTGTAGTTTCTAGTAATTGTCGTTATTTAGTGATGAATGAAGAATTTTACATCTTAGTGTTTTACCCATTGAGTTATATGTACTATGTACTAGAGAAGCCATTCCGAACATCGACTATGTTCAACTGAACTGTAGTGCAATCCCTACAAACTAAATATTGCGTAAATTGAAGATTTGTGAATTTCATAAAATAATAATTATTACATTTTATTTAGAAATATAACCTGTTTGTTTAGATTAAATTAAGATATTTTATTGAATAAAACTATTTTTACGGATTTTATCGCGTTTAATTAACTTATTTTATATTCCCGACGTTTCGGTTGCTTTCCAGCAACCGTGGTCACGGGAGACTGAGGTGATTGACGTCCCGATGTCAAAGTTAACCCGGAGTACCTTCAGCTTTTTAATTACTTTTTAATTATTCTGCGTAGATCGGACCAAAATTAATAATTAAAAAGCTGAAGGTACTCCGGGTTAACTTTGACATCGGGACGTCAATCACCTCAGTCCCCCGTGACCACGGTTGCTGGAAAGCAACCGAAACGTCGGGAATATAAAATAAGTTAATTAAACGCGATAAAATCCGTAAAAATAGTTTTATTCAATGTGTAGTGTTCGCGTAAATATAAGAAATCATTAAGATATTTTATATTAAATTCTTATATTTATTTTATATTAATATCTTATTTTATATCAAATTAAAGTCTTCGCGCATGCGCGACTACTACTCCCGCGCATGCGCAAAAACATAAAGTACGACACAGTTTTTGTTTGAAATGGCTTCTCTAGTACGTACTCATATAACTCAATGGTTTTACCTATTTCTGTGCACCCACTTCTATGTTCCTGTTTGAAGGGTAAGAGAGTATTACTCTGTATAAGGCATTTTATCTAAGTTCTTAAGAGTGACTACACATGGCCACACAGGGTCTTATGGCTGCAGTAGCCAATATGCGGGGTTTTTCATTAAGAGCGCTCGAACTTTGAAATGAAATAAAACAACCTGTCTAAGTGATATTGCCACATTTTTTATTTTATTTTAATGGACATTTGATGGCATAATGTATGGAGTATAATTTCAACCAAATGGCCACCGCGACTCCGCTAATCCGCTATAGGTGGTGTATCCTGGTGGACCAATTTTAGACGATATCTTTGCATAAATATTTTTTTTTTGCATTTAAAAGCGTGTAGCGTGTAGATTAAATAAGTATTCTTGTCAAATTTAACAGTTATCGCTTTACCAAGATGGCCGCTATACGCCTTCAAAGTTCGAGCGTCCCTATTGAAAACCCCTTTGCATCAGACAGACTATCAGCTTATTGGTCAGTTCAATAATATAAGCCCAAAGTCATATATATGACACAGGTGCATTTCATATGATGAATTATGTTGACATAAACATAATCATTTTAATATTTTTTTGTTTTTTTATTTTCCTTTAATTTGTATTTTTTTTGTTACCTTGTTACGCACGCACAACATATACGCATCATAGGTGCAACACATATACGCATTAATATTTAAAAAAAAAATATTTTTCTTTAATTTGTAAAATCTTAATGTATTTTGTTACGTTGTTCTGATTTTCTGATTTGTGATAAGCTAAAAAGCCATTTTGTAATTGTAACTTTGTGGATATGGGAAGGAACTGAATCCCGACACACAGCTATTGCTAGTTCGGGAGTCAGGGCTTCAACTTTGTAGTGTCAATATGGTTTTATTCAATAAATAAATTTATTATTATTATTATTATTATTATTTTATTTTTTTACACTCAAGTTGTTATCGGACTCTTCATCAAACCTTATTCTATTCCTGTGTTTATTGTAGCTATCTTGACGGACCCTTAACAAGAAATAATCTCCACAATTTTCGGCTAATTAAGAAATTCCCTTTAATCGTTTCAATTTAACTTATTTTACTCATCTTCAACAACCGTGCAGCCAGCTAAACATGGAGCTCTCCCAATATCAGGCAACTTGACGAAATAACTTTTTCAAGTTACAATAAATCATGTTCTGGCAGACTGTACGTGTTCCGTCACATCCCCAACTACAAGATCTTGGTGTGCGGCGGTGACGGCACCATCGGCTGGGTGCTGCAGTGCCTCGACAACGTCGGCCAGGACTCGCAGTGCTCCAACCCGCCTTGCGCCATCGTCCCTCTCGGCACTGGTAAGTGGTACTTTCTTTTATCCTGTCTTGTGCTTCCAGGGTTCGGACGTCATTATGATCATCATTACAGTTCTTCACAAGTCCACTGCTGAACACAGGTCTCTCCCAACTAATACTACAAATCACGGTTCTGAGCCACCTGCATCCATCGACTTACTGCATATCTTACCAGGTCGTCACTCCATCTAGTGTGGAACCGTCCCTATACTTTCCTCTCCCTACCTACCGGTTTGAAGATGCCACTCGAAAACTTTTCTTCCCCATCGGTTGTCGGTTCTTAGAGCTATATGGCCGACCCATTGCCATTTCAGCTTGCTAATTCGTTGCATTATGTCGGTTCTACTGCAGATATCTTCGTTTCTAAGTCTAGTGTAGTATACCTTGAGGTGTAATCACATCAATTCTATGTATCAGGTAATGACCTTGCCCGCGTTCTACGCTGGGGCTCGGGCTACACCGGCTGCGAGGACCCGCTGTCGCTTCTGCGTGACGTCATCGACGCCGAGGAGATCCGTCTCGACCGCTGGACCGTAGTCTTCCACCCTGAGGACAAGCAGGACGAGCCCAAAGAGCTCTCCAAACAGCTACCCGGTCAGTGAATAACATGCTGACTCCAAATTTATCTGTGAACCGTGAACCGTCGACAGTTTACCATGGTCCTATCGAGGTCTCTCTTAATCTAAGCCTTGGCCCGTTGCCGATACAAAAAAAACATGCGTGAGTGTCGTGCAACACTTGGTTGGAACGAAGTTCCTTTCGTCGTATATTATTATTGATAAACGTATTATATTATTGATTAACAAATACAAATAAATGAATTACCAGCGTCTATTAAAATGAAGTGTCATTTAAAATAAAATAATTTTTCTTTCACGGCAAGATAAGAAAAAGTGCGAGGGAGATGGATTATTCCATCTCGCTTCCTTATAGTCGCCAAGGCCGTCACTACACTACGTCAGAAAGGGTCATGACGGAAAAATCTTACACTTTTTGTCGCCTATAGATTATTTCATATTTAGTCTCTATATTGCTATAATCTAAGTTATCGCCTAGCCCCCATCCCCCAAATCCGTAACGTCGGATAAAGAACTTCGTTCCAAACATAAAACAATTCTAGATCGAAACCGACATTTTGTTATAAACTTGTCAATTATCACTAATAATTGGAAGTAGCAATGGCAAGATCAATTACAATCTCGTCACATTCGCTACCATACCTCTGTACTTTACTGTAAATTAATTTCCGTGTGTGCATAGTCGGTGGGAGATTATCCTATAGGCAAACTAGAGGCGCGAGATTACAAAGAGGCGCACTTGGAAGTTTTTAAACGAAAACAAAATTAAGTAAGTACCTATTTACTTTCCAAAGAGATGTAGAGCGCAACCTGTCTATTTGATTACACCTACATCGCCCTGACTCTCTCGTCTCATTTTCCACACGCACTTACTAATGGTATAGTGTCCTGGCCTACCCAATTATTTTGCAAATAAACTATATTGTAATTTATAATATAGTTAGTATAAGAAGTTATATGACCGGAAGTGGGGCGCCGATGAGATGCTAGCCTAAAGCGCTGTCGAAATTTAATCCGCCTCTGTCATCGATTGAAATAAATATACATTAATGTAAATTCAACCTTAAATGTATTGCCTAAAGTTGTATTCGCAAAGTTACGTACAAATTAAAAGCGCACCCAAATGTTTGAGTGGGCGCTCATCTAGTAATGACATTTTTTGTCACTGATTGCGTATCTAGTTTTTTATTAGTGATCGATGGCCCCTGTACGTAGTTATAAGTTATAAAAAGCCACTTATTCACTAGTAAACAATATAAAAAATAGATCTAAGCATACAACAGTTTCAGATACATCACGTAGATATTTCTAATATATGTTATTATTTTTTTTTTCAAAGAAACATGGAAAGACATAATATACAATCATTCTTGGTGAAAATACGATTTATACAACACAAAGATATTTTATAACGACATTTAGTAGTGTCAAGTGCGATTTCAATATGAACTATGTTTATGTCACAGCCAACTAGCTTAGTTATCGTTTCAGTTAACAGACTAGCCTTATTTCTATTACGGCCTGAATGATATCCAGTCGACGCGTCTAATACAACATTGCACCTATCTTATAATATGGATTGACCCTTGGGCCACCCTAAAGGGGCGTACATTTATGTAATATTAGATAGCGTATAATTAGGCACAGGTCAGCGACATTACATGGCATGGTCACCCTATTAATTTCATTCAACAGGACGGTCGCTGGTCTTTGAGTTAAACGGCGCCGCTTAGTAAAAAGACTAGGCTTGACTAGGCTGTTAACTACAGGTCTAATTAAGCCATCGATATATATGTACTACGCACTAGATTTCGCATTCCGAACATTGACTATGTTCAACTGAACTGTACTGCAATCCGTACACTAAACCAAATATTGTGTAAATTGAAGTTTTGTGAATTCCATAACATAATTATTATTACATTTTATTTAGAAATATGTTTGTTTAGGTTAAAATAAGAGTATTTTATATTAAATTCTTATGTTTATTTTATATTAATATCTTGTTTTATATTAAATTAGTCTTGGCCCATGCGCGAACCTACCGCGCTCTATCGCCCGCGCATGCGCGAAGACATAGAGTAGCGCACAATTTTTGTTTGGTTTCTCTCGTACGTAGTACATATAACTCAATGAATTAAGCTATGTGGGTGCGACATTTAGCGAGGTTTTACAAGTAAATATGTAGCATAATTGCCAGTCATTGCGAATTTGTAAGCGAAGTCATATGGAGCGACGCACTCACGTTACAGCATCTGTGACCACAGGGTCGCAGAGCGAAGACAACTCGCAGATACTGGTCATGAACAACTACTTCGGCATCGGCATCGACGCAGATCTCTGTCTCGACTTCCACAACGCGAGAGAGGAGAACCCCAACAAGTTTAACAGCAGGTCAATTGAATTAAATTAATACTGCTTATTTTTTGACGAAGATGGTCCACTTTTATTCTTTAGAGATTTTTGTTAATAATAAAATATAATGATATATAATATATAATTAATAAATAATATTTGATAATTAATACACGTGTATAATATTGATGTTTTCACCAGGGGCGTAGCGTGGACTAATATAGACGTGGGCGAAGTCGCATCAGCGAGGATTTTTTTCGTTTCAAAGATCTATCCAATAGATCTATCCTAACAAACATGCTTTGATACGACATGCTTACTCATAGATATTAATTCCTGACAAGTATCGTATTCTATCTAACGGTCGCGGTCTTTGAAGGAATTGGTTACAACGACTTCGCAGTCGCACTTGCGAGGCCCCAAACAAAGACGCTTTTAAATTTGTGACGTTCTTTTTCGAGCGTAAAAGTGATCAAACTAATTAGTCATCTGTGGTAAAGTATGGGAGCATCGCATTTTAAGGGGCTTCGCAAGGTCCCATTTAAGTGCGAGGCCGTAGGCTAGGGCCCACTTCTCCCACGCCCAGCTACGCCACTGGTTTTCACCAATGCACTTCAAGTCAAGCCAAAGTCAGTCAAGTCTGATGGCAATGAAACCGTCAAAACAACGTTTTTTATACAATTTCATAAACAGGGGATTCAAAGCAGCGTCACCGGTGAAAGAGTATCTGCTAAATATACAAGACATAAAATGACTAAGAGATGTCAAATGACAAGTGGTACAATTAAAAATTTTGCACAACCGTGTATCTGTGTGTTCATTCCTTCATTTATTTATTTATTTATTTGTGAATTATTATTTTTGGTTTCAAAGGTAACTTAATCGAGAGTGTTGTTAGCTATGTCTCAAGAAAATCTGTTCAGCCGTTTGAAGATCATCAGCTCTTTTAGTTTCGGAGGTTTTTTTTAATTTTTAATTTAACTTTTCAAGTAAGGTCTAGTTTGCAATAAATTGGGAGATTTTTTTTTCACGTGGTAGAGCCATGCTGCAGCTATATTAGTAGTTTAGTTGTAGCACGAATGGGTCGGCTCGACCGGGGAAGGACCACGCTCTCACAGAATACCAGCGTAAAATAGCAGCTTAATGTTGCTGTGTTACGTATCGTGAGTGTAGAGAACCGGAGACCCTTTTTACTGGAAACGAGGCATTCTATCTTAGTCCTCACGGGTGACAACGCATCTGCATTTTGATTTGTTATAGAGGATAGATGTAGATGTCTCTGAGCCGCTGCAACCACTTACCACCAGGTGGACTGTGTACTCGTTTGTCACCCTTATCCTATAAAAAAAGGTTTGCTCGGAATTACCATGTGATGGAAAACATTGTCGGGAAACCTGCATGTCTCACTGATAAAATATTTAAATTGTATTGTGTATTGTGCATCGCTAGTTGCCTCGTTGCCTGTGCCTAGTAGTGGGATGGGACGTATTAAATGGCTCTAACTTTATTTTTAACCGATTTCAAATAGGAGGAGCTACTCAATTCGACAGTATGTTTTTTGTGTCTCATAACTATTTTCTGGGTGAACCGATTTCGCTGATTCTTTTTTTATTTGAAACCTGGTGCTTCTCATATGGTCTCATATAAATTTGATCAAGGTCTGAATAGTTTTTAAGTTATTCTTGATAATTTATATTGAAATCGGTTGTACAAAATTTTTAATTTTTAGTTATTTTAAATGATGTAAATTTTTTTCGCTAGTTTTGTTTTTTTTTTTTTTTTTTGCTTAATATTTATATTGTTTTTATTCCTTTGTTTAGCTACAGATATTTAATAATATTAGTGTAAGATTATAGTTTATAATGAAAAAGAGGACTTTTTCGCATTGGGTTCTACCTGTAACAAGTAAATAAAATTAGCAGAGCTTTCAACAAATCACCATAACATTATCGGATGTGCAGGTTACGCAACAAGGGCGTGTACGTGAAGATGGGGCTCCGCAAGATGGTCGGTCGGAAAATGTGCAAAGATCTGCACAAGGCCGTCAAGCTCGAAGTGGACGGAAAGCCGGTGGAACTGCCCGCAGTCGAGGGCATCATCATATTGAATATACTAAGGTATGTGACGACACGTACCTACAAATCATCCTGGGATCGACTCCTGAAATAATTTATTGATTTATTTGTATATTTATTTGATTTTAAAAAACATTACCGTTCGTCGTCCAACGAACCACTGGTATGGGGGGGCACAGGCCTCCTCTTATTTCTGAGAGGGTGTTAGGTCAAGGAAATCTCCGCCGCGCTGCCCCAATGCGTGTTGGCGAACTTCATATGTCTTCGAAATAAATCTTTCTTATTTCTCAGACATGCCGGCTTCCTCACGTTTTCCTTCACCACCGAACACGTGGTAAATCAACGCTTAAAATTGCAATTCACACCAATAGTTTCATTGGTGTATGGGGGGGGGGGGAGCTTCGCTGAGTTACTCGCGTACCTGAGCACCTAAGCTACCACGGCTCTTTATTTCCTTGGTAAACTTTGTTTATTCTCGGAATTGGACGTGATTCTTTGTTTCTCTTACGGAGTCACCAAACTGAACAGAACATATCAGCATCATTACAGCCCCTTAAGTAGTTTGAATTCACTCCTTAACATAGACCTCCTCCAAGAATTACCACAAGACACGGTCACGAGCCATCTACATCCATGGACATTCCCAGATCCTCATTCCATCTTGTGAATTAAAAAAACCCATTGCCACTTCTACTGATAGATTCGAAAACAATAAATCTATAGATAATATTATCTATACACTTACAAATAAAATTGAATTGTCTATCTGTAATATTGAAATAAATGCCTTTATTGAGCTCAGGGAGTTATTTGCATTAAGGCGATATCCCGACCAAAACCATGCGATAGTGCGTTTTTCTTCGTTATTCAGAGAATATTATCTCATTACTTATGAGAAATAAACTACATCTAAAAGCACATTATTAATGTTTGTTCGATATCCTGTCATCACATTCCACGTTCTAATTTGTTTTTATGTGTTATAAATACATTTAAAATCTACTTTTTAAAAAATGACTAAAATTATTGATTACGTGCATGTGTTGCAATAAAGGCAACGCTGTAATCATTTGAGTCTTACAAAATGAATAGATAATTTACAAATCTATATTATTCACGTTTTATTTAATTTTTAAAGTTCGCTTTACTTTTTTAATTAATATTAATTGAAAAAATTGTGTGAATTCTATGATAAATGGGCGTATGCATAGTGTGGGCGGCATTGCACTGCATGCGCAAGGTTATTTGGTCAGGGAAACAGCTTAAGACATTAATAACCATTTTTAAAATGTTTGTCTGTCTGGCTGAACCAATAGGGAATGATCTAAGCTATATTGTATCCGAAAAACTTAGAGATTATTTTTGAGAAATCGAAAAATTAATAAAATAAATAGTCTTTGATGATTTATTTTATCTTAAATGTCAATTCCGCCACATTAATACATCTTACCCAGGCGAAACCAGGGCCGGTCGCTAGTATACAACATCTTTATACAGCTTAGTAAAATTACAATATTACATTTTATAACAATCTAAAACAGTTGATCGTTCAATTTGTTCGCAGCTGGGGCTCCGGAGCGAACCCGTGGGGCCCCGAGAAGGACGACCAGTTTAACAAGCCCAACCACTGGGACGGGATGCTGGAAGTAGTGGGCGTCACCGGAGTCGTGCATCTCGGACAGATACAGTCCGGCTTGCGCGGCGCCATGCGGATAGCGCAGGTTCCTCATCACACAAATACTTATTTATTTATTCACTAACAATCAGATCTCTGTACACAGTTAACATGAAACCAATGCTTGTTTGAAATCATGGAAACATTGTTTGTCCGCAATGAAAGCACTCAACCGATTTTAATGATTTTTTAAAATGTGTATTACTTACTCCAACTTGAGAGATAGGACAGTTTTTATGCCGATAAGTGATCCTCAATACTTTTAATGGCATATTTAAAGACTTTTATACGGCTAGTAATACTATAGATAAGTATTAGATGTAAGAAATAGGCACACTTACCTACAACATTCTTTTTCTATATAGAATGGGCTAACAAACAAGCACACAGTCCGCCAGATGGTAAGTGGTTGCTGTGGCCCATAGACATTTACATTTATTTTCAATTAAGAATCAAAATGCGTTGTCACCCCTGAGGGCTAAGATGGAATGCCTCGTTTCCAGTAAAAAGGGTCTCCGATTCTCTACACTCATCATAGGAAACACAGCAGCATTGAGCTGCTATTTTACCCTGGTATTCTGTGAGAGCGTGGTCGTTCCCCGGTCGAGCCGACCAATTCGTGTTACAACCAAAATATAGCTGCAGCGCGACTATACCACGAACAAAACTCTTTCTTTTTTTATAATTAAATATATCTACATCTATATATTGAACAAGCAAACAATTTACTAATTGGAGCGCTTTGTATGGGGGTGCTTGTTTAGTAGCGGTGCAACGCGTGGGGTAACACCGGTCATTGCCTTCGTCATTTTGCAAACGTTACAAATAAATAAACAAATAAATATATTGTAAATAAATCAACGGCTAATGAAATATGATAGAATTGTTACTGTAGAGGAAAGTTTATAAGATATTACTGTTTTCTGTACTTTGATGAAATTCTTTAGTTAAATATTTGGACAATATAGACCAGTTTCAACACAATCGCAACTGGTGAAAAGCGGAGATGAGGCCGAAGATATTATCCGCGTTTACCTACAAGATACCTGAATAAGCATATTTTCTACGCAAACGTGCTTAACTGGTTATAAATACACATATCGTAACGGCCTGCACACAACCAGGGAATGGAATTCGATGGTTTACTGAAAATGGGACGTTCAGGGCACATCAACTAAACATAACGTCTAGTGTGCTGGAAATATGATGATGGTGAAATCGAATCCAGATTTTGGAATTATTCATAGATACGAGTATACTGCCACACCATATCTCCGCAGCGCTTACTCGTGTTTTAATAAAATGTCAAATCTTTCTTTCTTTTTTATTGTTCCGTAAAGACAGGACATAGGTGTCTATATAGTTATTTGCATAGACACCTACGGAATGAAATAAGGAGATAAATTCTCTTAAACCACCATACAGCAAAATACCTATTATTTATTTTTCTACTTTCTACAAACTGTATGTTCAATGTGTGTTTTAGGGCGGACATATAAAAATAAATCTCAAGAGCGAGATCCCGGTGCAAGTAGACGGAGAGCCGTGGGTTGCAGCGCCCAGTGAAGTCGTGGTGCTCAAGTCGGCCCTCAAGGTATAATAACCTTCTCACAATACTACACTCTGCATGACGCACGTTTACGCTTTCATTTCATTTTAGCAGCGCTCTCATACCAACAAAGAATGATAGTCAGATGTTTTTAAATATCACCAAAATCATGTTTAACTTATTAAGTATTTGAACACTAACTCAACTAGCTCACGCACACTTGTGAATCTAAAAATCATTTGCAACCAAGAACATTTTTGTGCATTCATGTTTTAAGTGCATATGTGTACGTTCAAAAGTGTAATTTTATAGAAACGCGTTTTATAGAAATTTTATAGAAGTGCGTGTCAAGAAGTTCAGCATGATTTCGCGTCGTTTGAAATGTACATACATACGTAGTGTTCAATCTATTTTTGTTGATCTGAGGTAGCACTTTGATCCCATATAGAAATAAAACTATTTTACATAGATATTCATCTAGTCCCAAACTAATATTTCCATGGCACCTAAATTACATGAATAGGTGTAAATACAAACGTTAACTACTAGACGTTCCTTCCGTATATATTGAATGTCGTCTCATTAACACAGAACCCTACTCGTATTAATGTCTTAGGGAGCGTTATAATCGCAACAACCAAACGCAAAGCCCTATTTTTATGAAAAAAAAATTTTAGTAATGTTCATAAATCCAACAATTTTGTCTGTTTAATAACCGTTGAACAAAAAAAAACAGCTTTTTTATAGAATAACAGTAACAAATGAGCACACAGTCCACCTGATTGTAAGTGGATGCTGTGGCACTAAAAATCAAAATGCAGATGCATTGTCACCACCACTGAGCACTACGATGAAATGCCTCGTTTAAAGTTAAAAGGGTCTTCGGTGCTATTTTACGCTGGTATTCTGTGAGAGCGTGGTCCCACCCCGGGCGTTATGATATAGCTGCAGCGTGGCTCTACCATGTAGAGCTTGGTTACTAGAGTTCATTTTTTTGCTTAGTATTTGAGTAGACATAAGAAGCTTCTCTAATGCCTAAACCTTAAACTAACGACTAGCACTAATGGTTACTTTATTTATTTTTTTAAATTACAATCGTTCATCAAGATCCACCCAGCCTAAGACACCGCACATTTTATATCGATTTTCAAATCGATATAGAAAAACTAATCGAAATACTGTCCATTTTTATATTATGTTGGCTGTTAAAATCGCCTAAAAATGCTTAGCTACTTCAAAAATTTCACTCCAAGACCTGTGTGTGATGTGTGATCTGTGTGAAACCAGTGCTTAGAGCTTTCCAAAGCAGCGCCGTCGCAGGCGCTTCATGTATGATATTGTTTATTTATATTATGAATAAATTCTAGTTGAAGATATTTATAAAAATAAATTTTATTTATCATTATTAATAAATAATTTAATTTAAATATTTCTTATGCAGATTATCTATTTTTTCAGTGCTTAAAGCTGTTCTCTTAAAATTTTAACGTTAAACTTTTTCGAATGACTTGCAACATCACACCGCGCCTTTTTGCATGGCCTGATTTAATATCTATGAATTTAATTTTCATTTTATGCTTGATCTACGAAAGAAAATATTAGGTGCATGCATTCTTCGAATATAGTATTAATCGAAAATTGGCTTTTTGTTTTCAAGGTGGTGACATTGTTAATGTATTTTTTCTTTAGATCTTCTTACCTATATTGACCATTTTTTGTTTAGTGTGTAGCAGTAATCAGTGCGTACATTATAAACTCTTGTTGCTATAACTTTCAGCTGCTTTATAATAGTAATGATTACATTTGTAAGTTATGTATATATACTCCATATTATATATAATATATGTATGTATACGTATTGGAAACCGTTTTCTGGCGCTCGCCACATCATGCCGGTCCCATCGCCTAGAGCCGGCGCTGCTTGAACAAACATTTTGCTTTTGATGTTCGCAAGTGAAAATGTTCGTTCAGTGGAAACGCGGACAGCTAGCCCGATTCGATGTTAACACTTCACTGACAATTCAAATTGAGTTTTTTGTACTTGAAATTAATCAATTAGTATAATAAGCCGAAACGTGGGACTTACGTGCCTTAGAGTTAAATATAGATTAATAACTGCATTAGTGAAATCAATTTAAACTATTTACTTGCATTATTTTATTGATAACAAAATTACAATCCATTAAACAGAAATAATACACAATATACAGAGTTATCCCCCTCATAACAAAGATTAGATTCAGTAATTAGTAAATATAGTTAATATTAACGATAAAGTATGACGTCAAGGTTTCTATAGTCTATCAACTCTCAGTCGTGTTCAAAAGTAGAATAGGTACTCATTGCTTCTAATAATTTCAATCTTGAAAATCGTTTCTATTTTTAAAAATCTTCGAATATAAATCTTAGAATTTTACTAGAATTTAACTGGACTAATAAAAAAAAACAACATGTCAAAAATGACAAAAATGGCGGGAAAGCATCCGACCGAACAAAAAGTTAGGTTGCAAAAAAAGAATAGGTTTAGAGTTAGGGCGCGCGTAAGTCCCCCGGCGCGGCGTGGCTGAGGCGGCGTGGCTGAGTGGTGTGGCCGGCAGGCGACGATGCTGAAGAAAACGAAGCGCGGCTCGGGGTCCGCGGGCCCCGGCGGCGGCGGCACTGGCGGCCCGTAGCTGAGCGCGCGCTTCCGCAGGCCACGATGCTGAAGAAGCGCGGGAAGGTGCGCCGGCGCAGCACCGAGCCCAGCCTGCCGCCGCCCCCGCCGCCGCCACCGCACCCCCCCGACTCCTGAATCTGGCTCAGCGAGCGCCTCATCTGATGCCGCCCAGGGCTCAGGGCTGCGGAGGCGCTCGCCAACCTGTCCGTAGTTGGCATTTCGAGCGGTGGCGATGTAAATAAATATTGATCCAGATATAACTATATAACATAATGAATAAATAAATTTATAGTCATTAGAAGTTGTTTCATTTATTAGGTGATTTTGACAATGTATAAATAAACGTTTCAATATGTAAATATGGGTTTTTATTTGTACAACCTTATTCCACCTCTACATAATAAAATATTATATTAGGTACCTTTACATTATAGGTATTTAAAACCGTCACAACAAATTAAACAATTGATAACCGTTATAAGTACTTACCAATATAAAAGGAAAACGTACTATACGTGGTAGAGTCCCGCTACAGCGCAATTTGACTAAAACACGAATAAATCAGCTCTACCGAAGAAGAACCAGGCTCTCACAGAATATACCAACGTAACATTTTGGCATATAAGTACCAGTATAACAGCAAAACATACTTTACGTGGTAGAGTCCCGCTATAGTGCAATTTGACTGTAGAACGAATAGGTCAGCTCAACCGAAGAAGAACCAGGCTCTCACATAATATACCAACGTAACATCAGCATATAAGTACCAGTATAAAAGTAAAACATACTACACGTGGTAGAGTCCTGCTGTAGCGCAATTTGACTGTAGCATGAATAGGTCAACTCGACCGGAGAAGAACCAGGTTCTTACAGAATATACCAACGTAACATATACATATATCAGCATATAAGTACCAGTATAAGAGTAAAACATACTACACGTGGTAGAATCCCGCTATAGTGCAATTTGACTGAAGCACGAATAGGTCAATTCGACCGGAGTAGAACCAGGCTCTCACAGAATATACCAACGTAACATCAGCATATAAGTACCAGTATCAAAGTAAAACATACTACACGTGGTAGAGTCCCGCTACAGCGCAATTTGACTGAAGCTCGAATATGTCGGCTCGGCCGAAGAAGAACCAGGGTCTCAGAGAATATACCACGGTAACATCAGCATATAAATATCAGTATAAAAGTAAAAAAAATAATATAAATAATAATATAAAACATACTACACGTGGTAGAATACCGCTACAGCGCAATTTGCCTGTAGCAGGAATAGGTCAACTCGACCGGAGAAGACCCAGGCTCTCACAGAATATACCAACGTAACATATACATATATCCGCATATAAGTACCAGTATAAAAGTAAAACATACTATACGTGGTAGAATCCCGCTATAGTGCAATTTGACTGAAGTACGAATAGGTCAGTTTGGCCGGAGTAGAACCAGGCTCTCACAGAATATACGACCGTAACATCAGCATATAAATATCAGTATAAAAGTAAAACATACTATACGTGATAGAATCCCGCTATAGTGCGATTTGACTGAAGCACGAATAGGTCAGCTTGGCCGGAGTAGAACCAGGCTCTCACAGAATATACGACCGTAACATCAGCATATAAATATCAGTATAAAAGTAAAACATACTATACGTGGTAGAGTCTCTCTATAGCGCAATTTGACTGAAGCTCGAATATGTTGGCTCGGCCGAAGAAGAACCAGGGTCTCAGAGAATATACGACCGTAACATCAGCATATAAATATCAGTATAAAAGGAAAACATACTACACGTGGTAGAGTCCCGCTACAGCGCAATTTGCCTGTAGCAGGAATAGGTCAACTCGACCGGAGAAGAACCAGGCTCTCACAGAATATACCAACGTAACATATACATATATCAGCATATAAGTACCAGTATAAGAGTAAAACATACTACACGTGGTAGAATCCCGCTATAGTGCAATTTGACTGAAGCACGAATAGGTCAATTCGACCGGAGTAGAACCAGGCTCTCACAGAATATACCAACGTAACATCAGCATATAAGTACCAGTATCAAAGTAAAACATTCTACACGTGGTAGAGTCCCGCTACAGCGCAATTTGACTGAAGCTCGAATATGTCGGCTCGGCCGAAGAAGAACCAGGGTCTCAGAGAATATACCACGGTAACATCAGCATATAAATATCAGTATAAAAGTAAAAAAAATAATATAAATAATAATATAAAACATACTACACGTGGTAGAGTACCGCTACAGCGCAATTTGCCTGTAGCAGGAATAGGTCAACTCGACCGGAGAAGAACCAGGCTCTCACAGAATATACCAACGTAACATATACATATATCCGCATATAAGTACCAGTATAAAAGTAAAACATACTATACGTGGTAGAATCCCGCTATAGTGCAATTTGACTGAAGTACGAATAGGTCAGTTTGGCCGGAGTAGAACCAGGCTCTCACAGAATATACGACCGTAACATCAGCATATAAATATCAGTATAAAAGTAAAACATACTATACGTGATAGAATCCCGCTATAGTGCGATTTGACTGAAGCACGAATAGGTCAGCTTGGCCGGAGTAGAACCAGGCTCTCACAGAATATACGACCGTAACATCAGCATATAAATATCAGTATAAAAGTAAAACATACTATACGTGGTAGAGTCTCTCTATAGCGCAATTTGACTGAAGCTCGAATATGTTGGCTCGGCCGAAGAAGAACCAGGGTCTCAGAGAATATACGACCGTAACATCAGCATATAAATATCAGTATAAAAGGAAAACATACTACACGTGGTAGAGTCCCGCTACAGCGCAATTTGCCTGTAGCAGGAATAGGTCAACTCGACCGGAGAAGAACCAGGCTCTCACAGAATATACCAACGTAACATATACATATATCAGCATATAAGTACCAGTATAAAAGTAAAACATACTATACGTGGTAGAATCCCGCTATAGTGCAATTTGACTGAAGCACGAATAGGTCAACTCGACCGGAGAAGAACCAGGCTCTCACAGAATATACCAACGTAACATATTGGCATATAAGTACCAGTATAAAAGCAAAACATACTTTACGTGGTAGAGTCCTGCTATAGCGCAATTTGACTGTAGCATGAATAGGTGAGCTCGACTGGATAAAAACCAGGCTCACACAGAATATACCAACGTAACATATCCGCATATAAGTACCAGTATCAAAAACAAAACATACTATTCGTGGTAGAATCCCGCTATAGCGTGATTTGACTGTAGAACGAAAAGGTCTATCCGACCGGAGAAGGACCAGGCTCTCACAGAATATGCAGACGTGACATTTAAGCTGCTGTGCTTAGTCTGTAGAGTGACGGTTACCGTCAGTAACCTACCCGTATCCAATTTAACGTTTAATAGTGGTAACATACTCTTTGTTGGGATACAGTATCAAATACACACACATTCACAACACAAGCAACGACCCAGTACCGCATTTGCTAAAAATTTGTCTGCGGCCTTGTCGACCTGTGGTTGGAATCCCCCACGTAACAAGTCTTGTATGACCTACAAATTATTGTTTTATACTGTGTAAATGTAACTTAAACAACCCGATACTCTAACCACTGGGTCACGCAATTATATAATTACACTAGCTGGCCAGGCAGACGTTGTTCTGCCATTTTCGACGACCCTTCATATAAAAGATCCTTAAATTCGTAATAAAAAAATATCGAGTGTCACTTATCAGGATAAAAACTATTCTATCTCTCTATTTGGACCAAACTACACACAGTGTGCGAAATTTCATTGCAATCACTTTAGTAGTTTAGGAGTTCATCGCGGACAAACAACGTGACACGTAATTTTTATATATAAACACTAGCTGGCCAGGCAGACGTTGTTCTGGCCTTTTCGACGACCCTTCATATAAAAGATCCTTAAATTCGTAATAAAAAAAATATTGAGTGTCACTTATCAGGATAAAAACTATCCTATCTCTCTAGTTGGACCAAACTGTACACAGTGTGCGAAATTTCATTGCAATCAGTTTAGTAGTTTAGGAGTTCATCGCGGACAAACAATGTGACACGTAATTTTTATATATAAATATTATAGAGTGCTTACATTTTATTACTGCAATTCTTAAATGTTATATAGTAGTAGTAGTAGTTTCACTACTAAATATAGTATTTTTATTATATTCAAAGTAATTCTCATTCAATATATTATAATATATTTATTCAAAAAAGATTTTTGGGCCTGAAGTTAACTAATTGGTTTATACTTTAAAAAATTAGCCATATTTTTATAAAGTAAAATACAAAATAGTAGCTCTTTTTACAATCTAGAATTAGAAAAAGCAATAAAATAAGAAATATGTTTGGCAATAAATCGATTACCATAAAGAATGCACTAGTGAAATCCTCTTTTCTGAACGTTGTCTTCCAATAGAGGACTTCTTATTTTAAAACTTGACAGTTCAAACTTATTCACTTACCCGCTATAAGTTATAAGTACAAACGAAACGAAAAAGAAGCAAAAAATCTTAAAATTATTAATTTATTATTCTTTATTGCACCAAAGCACCAAAGATATTATACAAAAAATGAGCTTAAATGTTATATGACATTCTCTACCAGCTAATCTTGGGTAGAACAGAGAGTGAGTTATGGGCAATGATCTACTTGTTAGGGCCTCACTGCAACTACATTATGGTAGTAGCATAGAATAGAATAGAATATTTTTTTATTCAATATACATTACATGTGTAATTTAACTATTTACTTAAAAGAAAAAGACAGATTTTCGATGCGATTTGAAACGAGCGCAATATAATACCGATTCTCGATTAAATTGAGCATTTTAATACCTATTTTCGATTATTTTTTTGTGTTAAGTTATAAAGGAGATAAAAAATAATTGTGTACATATCTACAAAATAATAATAAAAAATACAGAATATCAAAATTCCAACAAGTAGCAGTTACAACAACAATTGAAGTAATCGATTGCAGATCGATATCCCTAATATTCACCTCACTTAGTTGTTGTTGTTTTAACTGTCGTTAATCGTTTCACCATTTCGTTTCATTACTAACCACAGCTTATTTGGTGATTTTATACTGATTCTG